AAACAACACATCGCGCATCGATTTTTCGATACACTCCTAACATCGTTTGGTCCTGATGTGGTAAAACCGGATTCAATTATTGAAAATTTTGTGGGTTTAGTAATAATGTGACATCGACTGGTTTTTATAGACGAGATAATATATACCACACTTTTCATATCGGACATTTCGATAAGTGGTGCAAGAAACGATCGATTAATTTACACAGAAAATATTGGTGATTTGTTTCATTTGAATTTAACTCAGGAATGTACTCACTANTTGAGAAAGGTTACCCACGGTAACCGAAACGTCGGCGAATATAATTCTCTACCGACATCGCTGTGTTATTAACTCTATAACTTTCACAATAAAACAACACATCGCGCATCGATTTTTCGATACACTCCTAACATCGTTTGGTCCTGATGTGTTAAAACTGGATTCAATTATTGAAAATTTTTTGGGTTTAGTAATAATGTTACATCGACTAGATAATATATACCACACTTTTCATATCGGACATTTCGATAATTGGTGCAAGAAACGATCGATTAATTTACACAGAAAATATTGGTGATTTGTTTCATTTGAACTTAACTCAGGAATGTACTCACTATGCCAACTTCCAGCCGTGTATTTGGTGCAGTTTGATCCAGTCAAGTTCGAATTGAACTCCGCGGTTTCTTCCCACGGTAGTTATTGCGCTTTTCGGACACCCTTGTCAAGGCCATGGATTTGGTATCCGTTAAGATTGATGCCAATCCAGGACCGCTCAAGATCTTTCGACATAACAATGCTCAGTCGTTCCGGCCCGATTCCAAAGTATACTTTATCCTCAGGTTGATACGAGATAACCTGAGATACCATGGGTCCGAGAACTGAAATGAAATACACCGTGAATTGAGCAAGTTGAACCCACTCCTGACGGATTATATGAAATCAGGGAACATGTAGCAAGTTTCAACAATTACATGTGAAGGATAAATTTGGTTTGTCCAGACCGTAAACACACTTCATAGCATATTTGCTCGACTGATCTGACAGCTCCCACAAATAGCAAATAATCAGTTTATCGTCCACGTACAAACAGGACCGATTGAACAAGACCATGTCATTCGGGGGCATCGGTAAACCTCGATCTTTCAATGTGTTGTACGGTTTGCATGGATCTGCGACATGGGGAAACAATTATTGTCACGTAAACATCGGCACTATAATGGCGAACAAGAACTGCATCAGCCTCGTTCGTCGATTTGTTCCAACCAAGCGAAAAGTTCAATTAATCCACCAGTGAAGTGATAGGCGTTGTGCGGTGGAATGTGGAAGAAAGTAGAAACATCTAGTTTATTTCACCTATCGAAGTGATGGATATCTCTGCCTGTCGATAGTCCAAACACTTGAATCGAGTGACGTGTATTTTTTCGTAAAACCACTGATTTCCGGAAAACCATGCGTAACCCTCTGACCGCAATCCGTCCACGCAAAGC